ATGGATGTTTTGAGTTCTTACCAGTTATAGGCCTAAAGTGTAAAAAAACTCTGGGTCACTGGTTCTGATTTTGACCTTTGCATTCATAAGAGAAAGACTGATCTCTCTGAGGATATACTAACTAATGGAAACCAATTATTTACTCTCACTTTAGCTCTACAGACTATCAAAAAGTAAAATAGCACAACATGCTCTGGCTTCGAGGCCACAGAGTGAAGAACATGTTTCAGGAGAAAGGCAGCACTTCAGTATTTGACATTGGTAAATAAACATTGTGATAAGTTTGACCAAGAAAGACTGTGATGTTTTCATTCACATGTGATGAATATTATTCTTTTATGTCACTGTTTCACTAACACTACACCCTGTATGATACTCCAGGATAATCGGCCAGTGAGGCATATTTTAACTGACGCAAAATAAAGGCAATGTAGCAGTGTATATACAAGAGCTGGTAAGTGAGCTGTATGCTTTATGTGGAATGGGTATTTCTGGATCCTAAGCTCAGCAGCTTAGTCTGTGAGCAGAGGACACTGCATGCTGGAGGACTTGGAGGGAAAACTGTCTCCTAAGATGGCTACCTGTGTCTGAGAGGAGGCATGGGGCAGGTGGCTTGTGCAAAACTGAAAGGACACTTTCCTCCAGTCCTAGAAACTTCTCTGCCCCATCTCCATCAGAGCATGGGGAAGCTTAGAGGTCCAGGGTGAGATCCCAGAGAGATTTGCCAAGAACTAGGCAGGCCTGCATTGGGATAACCTACATCGGCATCCATGACCTGCTACTTAGGACTGGAAGTAGGATGGATAACCAGTGATTCCAGCCACTAGGAAGCTGCAGAAACATGGGCCTCTGTTGCCACTTCACTCTAATAGGCACAAAATTGGGTTAGAGTGTATAAGATACTCTCAACTCCTGTAGCTCCCCTGGATGTGCTGTGGTTCAGTAACATTTTGAAGCAGCCTTACCATGAAGTGCATGGTATACTGGGATCATCTGCCTCTCCCAGGCTCCCTACTCACTTGTGCAAGGTCTGGCAATGAGGCAGTGCAGCTTCTTGAAATTCCAGTGCTGGAAAGGATAGATATGGGGCTTCAACTTTGATGCCCAGCACTGTCATTTAGAGAGACCCTCTTCTCCCCCTTGCTTTTAGCCAACCAACTTGCTCTATTCAAAGAAAATGTTATTGTATCTTTTAATGAAAAAAGTCTTTGCTGACCAAACAGGTTTGCTTGCGTTCTGTTAGCTCCAATAACACTGCTGGGTGGAAAGCAATCAATCCTGGAGTTTTTAATAATATGTGAGCTGTAGCTTTGCTTTGCAAGCAGGCAGGACTGTAATAGTGTCTGCTGAAACTATTCCTGCCAAAACAAACACCAGGAGAGATTTCTTTTCCATATACTGAACTCTCACTTTAGTACTTGCCAGGGAACACTTTTCACTTCTCCAGTCTTCTGCCTGTAGTGGACAAATAAAGAGCACTGCAGATAGCAACAATCAGTGAGCATGTTGGTACTGGAGGACTGCCTGAAAAGTTGTGGGCTGCAATCCTTAATGCAATGTTCTCTCTATGTTTGGAAAGGACTTTACTCTTTCCTTTCAGCGCTTTTATAAGACCTCGGGGCTGGGGCCTGCATTCTTCTGCAGTAAGCTCACAAGGTTGGATTCCCTTCAGACTTGCAAACCTTGATCACATTCATATTTTATGTGAGCCGCTCTGCATAACTGATTCTTCTGGTGTTTATTTTTCTTGATTTGAAATAATTCTTATTTCCCTATGAGTAAAACTTGCCTGTTAATGACTGCTAGCTGTAGCATGACAGCAACTATCCTCAGATCTTCTCTCGTGGCTCTGTCTCACCTCATCTGTCACCTCCAGACATGAGGTCAGACGTTGCCATGAGGTGGGGGAAAAAGTCATGGTTTTGAAGAACTGAATTGTTTTGCTTAAAGCATTGTCCTGAGATTAGCTATTCGGACCTCCTTGGCTCAAGTGATCTTCTTTCCTGTAGGAAGGGAGACCCGAAATTTCCCAGTGGTTAGGTCATAGCTTTGAGTATACTATTAACAAAAGCACATGTTACCATACTGACTGATGGTAATTAGGAGATGCTCTTTGCAGTTGTGCCACTGTATTTATACTTGTGGTTTTTTAGGGGTGTATGTGTGTCTCTGTGCGTGTTGGTAGTTACAAAAAATTGTGAAAATGAGATGAGAACCTGGATCTAGATCTGTCCCTCGCAGCCCATTTGCCCCTCCCAGGCTGCACTCAGAGCCTGGATCCAAGACCAGGAGTAATCAGAGAGAAGCTGGTTCTTCCCTTGCACCAAGTAGCCAGGAGCAGCAGTGAGCTATTGGTTTCAGAGTTAGAGATGGATGGGACCAGGTATTACCATAAAGTGATGTGGGCTCAGACTGTTTTGGAGTTTCACACACAGTTAAAAATGGCAGTAGGCAACATCTAGGATGCTGTGAAAAAACTCAGACTTGTGACATTTGCATTTCAGTGTTGTGGAGCAAAGTATTTCTATTACTTTTGTCTAAAATTTTGCTTGCTTGTCTAGGTTGGCTGGCTTTCTCAATTTCCAGGTTATCATCAGCCATGGGAAGCATAAAATACCGCAAGTACACATCATATTTAGCTGTCTTGTTTATCAGTTATTCCCAGAAAATGCTGTCATCCAAGTAAAACATGGATGTAGGCCATTGTTATAGGTTAGAAATCCAGGAGAATTTTCTTCCCCCTGCCCCCCACTGTAAGAAAGACGGAGTCTGAATGGAAAAAAAGTCAATTAGCCTTACAAAAGAATCTAGCTGGCCAAGCTGCATTTCTACTGAATGGCCCATCAGAGGCTGGGGGGAGAGGGGAGGAGTTTTGGGAGGGGGTGGCTGGCTCTTCTGGGAGGGGAGAGATCAGACTCGGGAGTTCTCTGGGACAGAGGCAGGGTCTGTGTCTGGGCATTTTTGGAGAGGGGGCCTGGAAGCCGGTCTTTCTGGCTTTCTGTTCTGGTGAGGCCTGACCAGCGGCTTCGATCGGCTCGCACGCTGCCTCATGACTCCAGCCAGGACCTACTGGGCTTTCATCGGAGAGTCTCTGTGCTTGCTAGGAGAAAAGGAGGAGCTTTGGGGAGCTGTCATCTGAGAACGACAGTGAGTCTTGTGCGGGTAGACTGCTTTTCCTTCTGCCCTTCTTCCATTGGGGGAGGGCCCCCCCGTTGTTTCTTCTTGGCTTCTCCCGTGACCCAAGACCAACCCCCAGACCCCCTTCCCACACAGTGACTGCCGGGGCCCAACAGCGCCCCCTGCAGGTCAACACAGAGCACTGCAGGCTCTGCACCTCCAGTGATCCAACAGCGCCCCCTGCCGACTGTGATCAGAACTGTGCTAAAGACAGAGAAGTATTCATTCAGACTTTTTTTGGGGTTTTTTTTTTCCCCTATTGTTTGAAGGGGACTTTTTCTTTGGGTACAAGACTATTGCCTAGGGTTTTTTTGTGTTCTGTTACTGTTCTTGCCAACACACATATATCTTTTAATAAAGGGTTGTTCTTTCTTCTGTTTTTTCCGACACTTCCTTGATTAAAGCCCCTTAATTTTGAATTCACAATTGCTGAGAGAGAGGAGTTTGGTTTGTCTTATAACTCATCCTCTTTAGCAAACTTTCCAGTCTCTTCAAACTGAGACAGCCATGTTCTCTCTTTTTTTTGCAGATCCTTTACCTTAGGAATAGGAAATTCCCTGAGCTACTTTTCAATCATAAATAATGTAAAATTTCAAAGTGCTTTACTGAGTTGCAAACTCAAAGTACCATTCTCCTTTGACTACGAAATTTGCACGCAAATCTTGCTTTCATGCCCACCAACCATATGTTTCCAGACATTTACCTACAGGAAAATGAAGGTACCTCCCAGTCCTTCTAGGAGATGAAGCTCTTAAAGAGCATTTTACAGCTACGCAAAGCACCATATTATTCTGGATACCAACCATCAACCTTTGCCTGAGCAACCATTGCTCTTAAGGTGATGAATAGTAATTTTCTTTGATAGGACTTGCAATGATGATCTTGGAGACTATCTTGTATTATTTGAGAATACACATGCGAGCCTTCTGGAAACATATGGGATTCCTATGTCCTCTCCAAATCTTTGATAAGATCTACCATCCACTACCTTAATGGAAAAAGACACTTTTGATGCCTGATGGGATAAAAGAGTTCCCACCATGGTCTGATATTATTTAATCTGACTGTGAAGATGAATCCTCTATTCCCACTTCTGACTTTTCCTCTCTTATTTTTCCCCATGTCATTATCTTTTCACCTTCATTTTTTTTATCATGCAAATAGATGAAATGTTTCTTTATCATTGCTAAGCTGCTGGTGTCCAACACCAGTATTACCTGTTTTCACCTAAATTGTGGAAGACAGCTTGAATCAAACTAAACATTGAGATCTAATATCAACTAACATCAACTTTCTACCTTCCATAGTCTGCTCACATTCAGAGAGGCCTTCTGTCATCGTAAGTCGTGCTGCTCTCTTGAATGTCTTGGTGCTTGATTTATGAAAATCTGTGTAGTTGAAAAGTATTACAGAGGAAACATATTGTCAATAGCCAGATGCTATGCAACAAACACTTGGAAAACAAACATGCACTCAGCAGTTGATGGTCAACTTCTGGTTCTACTGAAGTTTCCAAAGGAATTGAAGATTTTTTCAACCTAAAATGCAGGTTAACAGAGAACAGGGACTGGTAATATTTATACAAATGCCAAGATGAGGGAATTTTTGATCCTTTTTTTTTTTTTCATGAGCCAGACAAGTTTTGTCTTCTTTTGAACTGATAGAGTGGCCTGGAGAAGGTGAAAAAGATCTGTTAGGTTTCCCATAGGTAAGCAGTTGTAAAAAGATCTTTAAAAGACAGAAATTACTTTAGTATATGAGATGCAATTTACAATACATTATTTTGTTCACCCAAATTACCTTTTTGTTATCTCTTTTTTAAGGTTCCTTCTTAAAGGAGAAGTTGGAGGAAACTCTGTTATTGGAAGTCTTGTGACTGTATGAGGACAGTGCTGGAGTACTGCCATGGTACTTTGACACATTATCATCCTAGTAAATGACCCAAGTGTTGAAATTCAGTGTGGAGTGATGGCTTTTGTAAAACTTTGCCATGTGTTTCGGCCCTTCTGGCAAGCACAGCATTATCTGATGGTATGTCACTGGGGGAGGAATGGAAGGAGACAAGGTAAAAGAGAATATGGGCTTTATATGAGCTATAGTATTTAAACTAAAGCTGTAAATAAAGAAAAGCTTGCCTGTAAGTTTACAGACATACAATTAAGACCCTTACTATTATCTAATCCTTTTTCTTGCCTTATGATTTTATGATAAAAAGCATTACTGTTGCTTTTGGACTTTCATAATAACTCTAGTAGCCACAGAGAGAACCAAATATTGTTTGTTTATTTACTTGTGAACCAAATTATGCTCCTCTGCAAACTTCACTGTGTAATTTGCACTGGATTTGCTGTTTACAAGCATGCACACACTGGTTTAAGTACTGCCCTCTCCCTGGAATTAGAATTGCCATGCAAGTGGCTATGATTTTAGTGAAACAGTTGCAACTCATTATATCTCCCAAAGTCAGAAATAGTCCTCCATTCAAATCTGCAGTCAGTGCCTTTAATAAATAAAACATGGCTGTCAGAATTAAGAGAGATGGAGTCATAGTAACAGACTCTTAATACTGTTGAGTGTGATTAAATAAAATTGTGGATTTCTCCCCATTTATCACTTGTGGTTCATTTTCTTTACCAAATTCAGGAGTCAGTTATTAGTTACACTGGTTGCCTACCCAGAGCATACGCCTTTGAAGTGTACACTTTCGCATACTTTCTATGTGTTTGCATGCTGGTTTTGTATGTATTTTGCTATCTATGACATATAGATACTATGCAGCACAGCCACGGTTGCAACTGGACATCTTCATAATTTCTGCTGACATTTGCCTTGCTGTCAGCCTCACCCAGCTGAAAAATGCACTGTGTGCTTCCAAATGATAGTGTTTGGAAATCTGGCCAAGGCCCTCTACAGGGCCTCAAAGCTGACATTGAAAACTTGCTGAGTTATCAGTTCATATCAGGTGAAAACAACGTAGCTTTGCCCTAACTAATTTTTATGCATGCTGGTGATGAGATTTAAGAAGATCTATGCAGCTAATTTCTATTGATCACACCATATCATGATTGAGTATAAAGGAAGAAATTTCATCTGGAATGAAGTGGTGTCCATTAAGACAAACACAGTGAAGATTTTACACCAAAGGAAATCTGCCTCTCAGTGGGTGGTTTTCTTCTGCCTCATTCCACAGGAGGATGCAATGTGGGTGATGGTGTCCTCTTCCAGATCTTGGTACAGGGCTGACCCTGGTGCTGTGGGTTTCCCAGCCAACCTGGGGAGTAAGCCTGGAAAAAACCATGGTGAAAAAACCATATCTACCCCTCAGGCACCTAGCCCCCTCACAAATTCATCTGGACAAGGACAGTGGAGATGTTATGAGTTAGATCCTGCATCAGGGTTCATGGGTTACAGGGACAAAACCTGTCCTGAGAAGCTTGAACCTCCAAAGCCTCAAATGTGTCCTTTAGTTTTACTTTCTTTCTGCCTTAATCCTTACTGCTTGGCTGCAGATCAATGCCTTTGGGACCCCAGCTTCTGGGTCCCTGCATGGTTTCCTGTGCCTCAGAAAAGCCTGTGCAGGGTGTCAAAAACTCTGCTAAAAACCCATTTCTCTTGAGATTTGGCTTGCTGTGAAGGGCTGTATAGGATGGATGTTATGGCTTTTAAGAAAGAGTATTAAACAGGTGAAAATTAAAGGCATGAGTGCTTCTGTATATTTGCATGTGTGTAAGAAAGACAACATTGCTATTGACATCCCTCATCTGAAATACTGCTACATCCTGGACTCAGTTGATGCTCAGCAGTGCCTTCCTATTGACCTCAAACACTAATGCCAGCTAAGAATCCAACCCAGCTCTCAAACCTTTTGTACATTTTCACCACCAGTGCATAAAGTAACTTTTCTACAAACACTGTTTGCAATTACATGTTCCTGCTGTAATGGGTGTATTTGCAAGTCCAGTTTTCAGTGTGCACTGATGTGCACTGCTAACAACTACATCGCATGTGGTAAAGGGGGCTGGAAGAGAAAGACAGAGGGGTTTCTTGGGTACCAAATAGGGTTTTCTTGTACACCAAATAGGATTTTCTGGTGTTTTGCCTTCTGCCCTTGTGTAGTTTACATTTGCTCTCAATGAAAGTACTGACATTACTCCAGAAGGGCTTGTTTCCAGCTGTGCCTGTGCTGATGGATGACATTGAAGCAGGTCAGCTCAGCTTTATCATGTCCTTCAACAATGTCTCTAATGACGCAGGGAGGAACATGCTGGGAATTCAAGGAGCATCAGTATTTCTCTCTGCTCTTTGATGCTTGGTTGGCAATATCACAGGAAAATAAAAAACTGTATAAAAAGAAAGTGCTTTTAAGATGGTTACACCACACCTTTTTACTACTTCTATCTCCTTGTGCTACAGATCTGCAGGAGGCTTTTATGGCATTAGAAAAAAACTCACAGGAGCAAACATGGAGAGGAGCATTAGTAACATACTTAATTTTCTATTAAAGCAAATAGTAAGCAGGCAAAACTATTGCTGGCAGGATTAAAGACACGCTGCTAGCAGTGTCTGAGTTGTTTTGAAATGCCTGGGGCATAAGGCGTATAAAATGAAACATGAGTCATCCCAGGTCATCTTCTTTTTAGGACCACTTCTCGCTTTCAATCTTATTGTGTTCGGGACAGAGAACCAGTCCTGATGTGGCTTTTTAGACTGTCAGTCTGTCTGCTCTCTTTTTTTTTTTTCTAGGTGCTGATGTCTGCTGTGGTTAATTTTTATATTTTTTTTTGCTTATTTCTGAGAATTATGCACACTCCTATACAGGAACAGACCAGATCTGAAAACAAAAGTGTGCGGCATTTGTTCTTCAGGGTTACAGACATACTTCTCTTTGTCATGGATGTGGGTGACATCACTGTTTGTACATGTTCTTTTTCACTTTTTTGTATACTTCATTATCCATCTTCCCTTTATACCTTTGTGATTTTTTGTTTGTTTGTTTGTTCGTTGTTTAAAAGAAAATGATGTAAAAGTCCACAATTCTGGTTTGATTTATACTAGAAAAATTTTGTTAGGAATCTTGTGAGTCCCCTATTTTATAGTGTTCTTAGGTACAGGTACATGTAACAGGACAGTGGTATTTCAGTACCACTGAAATAAGTTTCAAAGAAAACCAGTTATGCTGTGGCTAATTTTCCTCCCCCCTCTATCAGTGTGACAATGAATAAATAGGTTTGTCACTTGTTTTAAAGAAGAATGCTGCAAATTCAAGGGAGGATGGTAAGAAAAGTAGTTTTCAAGGGTCCTTTCACTGTAAGCCTGGGCATGTATACAGAAAATGCTGTGTAATGTAATCACTATCTCTTAAAATACTCAGTAATCAGTAGTTAGAGCACAAATTGTAGCCCAAATGCTCTTCAAAAGGAAGTGGAGGAATAGCTAAAATCCAGTGTACTCCATTACAGTTACATTTAGGAAAATGCTTTGCCATGTCTGGCCTACCATGTTCTTAAAATAGAGGACACATGAGTTCCTACCATTTCCTCTCCCACAGTTGGAACTAGCACCTGGCTATTAGTAACAGTGGAGAAAGGAAGGTAACACGGATGGAAAAAAGAGAACACTGTGAAGACATTCCAGATGCTATGACCTTATTTACGTTTTTTGCCCCAATTTCTGTCTTTGAGACACAACCACCTCCTAAGGGACTCAGGACAGCAACAGCAGGAAATTTCTCCAGTATTTCCTCCAGTTGTGATTGCTGGTACCTCCTTTTACCCAGAGAGTGGTGCTGTGCATCAGGTCTGCACCCCCAGGTAGCAGTATGAATTACACCTAGAAATAAGCATCGCTGCATGGAGGAAGCTTTTGTGTGGAGCAACCCTCCATTTGGGCCAAGTAAGTGTCCCTTTTGCCAAGTAACTGTCATCGTGATTTGTTACTTGTTACATTGGCTCCCTGTGAAATACAAAGTTGTATTCAAGGTCTCAGTGGTAATCTCCAGGATCCTCAGGACTTGGCAGTGTCAGCTGAGGCAGCGCCTCTCTCATGGGAGTGATGTCCTGGAAGAGCTGCTTATCCCAGAAATCATGAGGATGTCACTTTGGAGGCTGAGAGTGAAAGTGATTCGGAGAGTGGGGCCTTTGTGGCTTTTGAGATGTCCTGGATCTCAGGTGGGAAGGTTAGGAAATGATGGGACCTTGCACTCTGCAGCACAGATCTCCTGGCTCACAGACTCAGCTCACCAGGGGAAAGGGAAAGGGTGTGATGGATATAGAGGGGAAAGGAAGCAGCATAGACAATTCAAGAAAAAAGAAAGAATTCAAATGTTTATGAAAGATGAGTATCTACAGTTTATGCCACTTCTCTGTATTTTGTTATCTAGAAAAGCATCTGATTTTCAGAAGTGCTAAAAGATTAAAGTAGCTACAATGACCTCAAACATTAAAAGTTTATCATCAGCCACACCCTTTGGAAAAGCTTAATCTTACTCAAATTCCATAGCTCAGCTAGTGCTATTTGGAGCCATTTGTCTCTTCGGAGGCAGCAAACTACTCTGGTTCTTTCTTGTTAGTAGGTAGACTGAGGGAAGAAATCCTCATGTTGGTGGACTCAGGACTCAGCTTTCATTCATTTTGTATCCATCTTGTATCCATCTTTCTTCCTGATAGAAAAATATTTGCTTGTTGCTATGTGAAGAACTTTGCACAGAAATCTGACTTCAGAGAAGATTTGCTGGCCATCTGTGGTCAATCTAGACATCTGGTTGTGCTCCAAAAAGTTCAAGTGGAAAGGCAGGTTCCCTGTTTTGCATTTAATTATCGCTAAGTTACAATGAGTGTATTGTGCTGCAACCGTTTCAAGTGTCACTGGTGATTAGACTGTTGCAATACTATTTCGATAATGCAACATGAGGCTACATCCTAAACTTATCTGGAAAGTACCAATGTCACATTTGGCAGCTTGGTTTTGGTTTTTTTTCCAAGCTGCATTTCTCAAGGAGCTCATGATGTAAATACTTGCAGTTTATTCTGCAGGTTGCTGGGTAGAGTTTATCCTTTACACTGTGTGGGACCTGTCTCTTGACCAACCATCCCTCCTTTCTGTTCTGGAGTGCCATGGCAGAGGTAGGAAGGGTTTTAAGACTCATTTGGAAGTACAAAAGACATTAAACTAAAAGTACTTTGCTATGAGGATACCAACTTCGGTCCTTGTTCCAAACTCTGGATCTGGAAGACTAATTTACTGAACTTAAATGGGTTCAAAGACCTGTTGATTTCTTAGCCTGTCAAGAGCATAGAAAGATTTGCAAGTGGGGCGCACTCAATAAAACTGGTGGATGCTTGAATAATGCCCATTCTAGAGAGGTTCAACATTGCCTTTGTAAAAGGAAGGTCATCCGTGCAAACCTGACAACACTCTCAAAAGAGGCTTAGAGGCATGTGGATAAGAGACATTCCATTGACCAACTAATGTTAGTTTTTCCAGAGACTTTTGACAGACTGTTTTCACCAAAAACTTGTAAGGAACATAACATGA